CTCACTGAGTTGATTGCAGGTGGGTACTCACTGAGTTGATTGCAGGTGGGTACTCACTGACTTGATTGCAGGTGGGTACTCACTGAGTTGATTGCAGGTGGGTACTCACCGAGTTGATTGCAGGTGGGTACTCACTGAGTTGATTGCAGGTGGGTACTCACTGAGTTGATTGCAGGTGGGTACTCACTGACTTGATTGCAGGTGAGTACTCACTGAGTTGATTGCAGGTGGGTACTCACTGAGTTGATTGCAGGTGGGTGCTCACTGAGTTGATTGCAGGTGGGTACTCACTGAGTTGATTGCAGGTGGGTACTCACTGACTTGATTGCAGGTGGGTACTCACTGACTTGATTGCAGGTGGGTACTCACTGAGTTGATTGCAGGTGGGTGCTCACTGAGTTGATTGCAGGTGGGTACTCACTGACTTGATTGCAGGTGGGTACTCACTGACTTGATTGCAGGTGGGTACTCACTGACTTGATTGCAGGTGGGTACTCACTGACTTGATTGCAGGTGGGTACTCACTGACTTGATTGCAGGTGAGTACTCACTGAGTTGATTGCAGGTGGGTACTCACTGAGTTGATTGCAGGTGGGTACTCACTGACTTGATTGCAGGTGGGTACTCACTGACTTGATTGCAGGTGGGTACTCACTGAGTTGATTGCAGGTGGGTACTCACTGACTTGATTGCAGGTGGGTACTCACTGACTTGATTGCAGGTGGGTACTCACTGAGTTGATTGCAGGTGGGTACTCACTGAGTTGATTGCAGGTGGGTACTCACTGACTTGATTGCAGGTGGGTACTCACTGAGTTGATTGCAGGTGGGTACTCACTGTGTTGATTGCAGGTGGGTACTCACTGAGTTGATTGCAGGTGGGTGCTCACTGAGTTGATTGCAGGTGGGTACTCACTGAGTTGATTGCAGGTGGGTACTCACTGACTTGATTGCAGGTGGGTACTTACTGAGTTGATTGCAGGTGGGTACTCACTGAGTTGATTGCAGGTGGGTACTCACTGTGTTGATTGCAGGTGGGTACTCACTGAGTTGATTGCAGGTGGGTGCTCACTGAGTTGATTGCAGGTGGGTACTCACTGAGTTGATTGCAGGTGGGTACTCACTGAGTTGATTGCAGGTGGGTACTCACTGAGTTGATTGCAGGTGGGTGCTCACTGTGTTGATTGCAGGTGGGTACTCACTGAGTTGATTGCAGGTGGGTACTCACTGATTTGATTGCAGGTGGGTACTCACTGAGTTGATTGCAGGTGGGTACTCACTGACTTGCTTGCAGGTGGGTACTCACTGAGTTGATTGCAGGTGGGTACTCACTGACTTGATTGCAGGTGGGTACTCACTGAGTTGATTGCAGGTGGGTACTCACTGAGTTGATTGCAGGTGGGTACTCACTGTGTTGATTGCAGGTGGGTACTCACTGAGTTGATTGCAGGTGGGTACTCACTGAGTTGATTGCAGGTGGGTACTCACTGACTTGATTGCAGGTGGGTACTCACTGAGTTGATTGCAGGTGGGTACTCACTGTGTTGATTGCAGGTGGGTACTCACTGAGTTGATTGCAGGTGGGTGCTCACTGAGTTGATTGCAGGTGGGTACTCACTGAGTTGATTGCAGGTGGGTACTCACTGACTTGATTGCAGGTGGGTACTCACTGAGTTGATTGCAGGTGGGTACTCACTGAGTTGATTGCAGGTGGGTACTCACTGAGTTGATTGCAGGTGGGTACTCACTGAGTTGATTGCAGGTGGGTACTCACTGACTTGCTTGCAGGTGGGTACTCACTGAGTTGATTGCAGGTGGGTACTCACTGACTTGATTGCAGGTGGGTACTCACTGAGTTGATTGCAGGTGGGTACTCACTGAGTTGATTGCAGGTGGGTACTCACTGAGTTGATTGCAGGTGGGTACTCACTGAGTTGATTGCAGGTGGGTACTCACTGACTTGATTGCAGGTGGGTACTCACTGACTTGATTGCAGGTGGGTACTCACTGACTTGATTGCAGGTGGGTACTCACTGACTTGATTGCAGGTGGGTACTCACTGAGTTGATTGCAGGTGGGTACTCACTGACTTGATTGCAGGTGGGTACTCACTGACTTGATTGCAGGTGGGTACTCACTGAGTTGATTGCAGGTGGGTACTCACTGAGTTGATTGCAGGTGGGTACTCACTGACTTGATTGCAGGTGGGTACTCACTGACTTGATTGCAGGTGGGTACTCACTGAGTTGATTGCAGGTGGGTACTCACTGACTTGATTGCAGGTGAGTACTCACTGAGTTGATTGCAGGTGGGTACTCACTGAGTTGATTGCAGGTGGGTACTCACTGACTTGATTGCAGGTGGGTACTCACTGAGTTGATTGCAGGTGGGTACTCACCGAGTTGATTGCAGGTGGGTACTCACTGAGTTGATTGCAGGTGGGTACTCACTGAGTTGATTGCAGGTGGGTACTCACTGACTTGATTGCAGGTGAGTACTCACTGAGTTGATTGCAGGTGGGTACTCACTGAGTTGATTGCAGGTGGGTGCTCACTGAGTTGATTGCAGGTGGGTACTCACTGAGTTGATTGCAGGTGGGTACTCACTGACTTGATTGCAGGTGGGTACTCACTGAGTTGATTGCAGGTGGGTACTCACTGACTTGATTGCAGGTGGGTACTCACTGACTTGATTGCAGGTGGGTACTCACTGAGTTGATTGCAGGTGGGTGCTCACTGAGTTGATTGCAGGTGGGTACTCACTGAGTTGATTGCAGGTGGGTACTCACTGACTTGATTGCAGGTGGGTACTCACTGAGTTGATTGCAGGTGGGTACTCACTGACTTGATTGCAGGTGGGTACTCACTGACTTGATTGCAGGTGGGTACTCACTGAGTTGATTGCAGGTGGGTGCTCACTGAGTTGATTGCAGGTGGGTACTCACTGAGTTGATTGCAGGTGGGTACTCACTGACTTGATTGCAGGTGGGTACTCACTGAGTTGATTGCAGGTGGGTACTCACTGACTTGATTGCAGGTGGGTACTCACTGACTTGATTGCAGGTGGGTACTCACTGAGTTGATTGCAGGTGGGTGCTCACTGAGTTGATTGCAGGTGGGTACTCACTGAGTTGATTGCAGGTGGGTACTCACTGACTTGATTGCAGGTGGGTACTCACTGAGTTGATTGCAGGTGGGTGCTCACTGAGTTGATTGCAGGTGGGTACTCACTGAGTTGATTGCAGGTGGGTACTCACTGACTTGATTGCAGGTGGGTACTCACTGAGTTGATTGCAGGTGGGTACTCACTGAGTTGATTGCAGGTGGGTACTCACTGAGTTGATTGCAGGTGGGTACTCACTGACTTGATTGCAGGTGGGTACTCACTGACTTGATTGCAGGTGGGTACTCACTGACTTGATTGCAGGTGAGTACTCACTGAGTTGATTGCAGGTGGGTACTCACTGCCTTGATTGCAGGTGGGTACTCACTGAGTTGATTGCAGGTGGGTACTCACTGAGTTGATTGCAGGTGGGTACTCACTGAGTTGATTGCAGGTGGGTACTCACTGAGTTGATTGCAGGTGGGTACTCACTGACTCGATTGCAGGTGGGTACTCACTGAGTTGAGTGCAGGTGGGTACTCACTGACTTGATTGCAGGTGGGTACTCACTGAGTTGATTGCAGGTGGGTACTCACTGTGTTGATTGCAGGTGGGTACTCACTGAGTTGATTGCAGGTGGGTGCTCACTGAGTTGATTGCAGGTGGGTACTCACTGAGTTGATTGCAGGTGGGTACTCACTGACTTGATTGCAGGTGGGTACTCACTGAGTTGATTGCAGGTGGGTACTCACTGACTTGATTGCAGGTGGGTACTCACTGAGTTGATTGCAGGTGGGTACTCACTGACTTGATTGCAGGTGGGTACTCATTGAGTTGATTGCAGGTGGGTGCTCACTGAGTTGATTGCAGGTGGGTACTCACTGAGTTGATTGCAGGTGGGTACTCACTGACTTGATTGCAGGTGGGTACTCACTGAGTTGATTGCAGGTGGGTACTCACTGACTTGATTGCAGGTGGGTACTCACTGAGTTGATTGCAGGTGGGTACTCACTGAGTTGATGGGAGTAAGGCCTCCGCAGCCCACCGCTCCTCCTCTGACAAGTCTTCTGGCACGGAATGCAGTTACCGGGGTGGGGCTTGAAGGTGCAGGGGTGGGGCTTGCAGGTACTGGATGGGGGCTGCAGGTACTTGATGGGGGCTGCAGGTACTGGATGGGGGCTGCAGGTACTGGGGGGCTGGGTGTTGAGACGTCTCTCTAGGCGAGGCTCCCTCTGAGCCTCCCTCTCCCTATGGCGTTTTGAGGCGTCTCATAAACCCAGCTGCCCACTATGAACCTTATTCACCTCACCCTACGGAAGCGTTATGCCTTCACAAGCCTGATTGATTCACTTGTATGCTTCCCACTCTTTTGACGCGCCTCAACACTTGTTCACCCTATGGTGGCGTTATGGCTTCACACACCTGATTGATTCACTTGTATGCTTCACACTCTTTTGAGTGTCAACGGGAGTTGTTGTTTGCCCCGTCCTCGCTTGGGCGGAGCCGACCTCGGGGTAGGGTGTGAGGAGTGCAGCCGACCTGCGACAGTGGGCGAGCTGATCGAGGGGCCTGGTCGACCTGCACAAGGGCCACTGCAAAGGCGCCGACTTAGGGAGGGCGCCAACTTCGGCTGGTCGACTTTGGAGGTCGACCAGTGGAGGGCGCCGACTTGGGTGACGCCGACCAAGGGAAGCCGACTGGGTGTGGACGGCTGACAGGCGTACTGGTCGCCTTGGAGTTGGTCGACTAGGGGAGCCGCTTCCACCGCACCTTCTTCTGGGTGTGGCGCCGCTACAGGTTCACCCCAGAGGGAGTCAGCCTGGCACAGTCAGCCGTGCAGCAAGGGCAGACCGCGTATCCTCTCTTCCCTTCTTCCCTTCTTCCCTGCTTCCCCATCAGGTAATGATTGGTGACATTGACCGTGCAGCTCGCTCCCACCGCGCCTTCTTCTCGGTGTGGCGGCGCTACGGTTTCACCCCAGAGGGTTTCAACCTTGCGCAGTCAGCAGTGCAGCCGGGGCAGACGTCGTATCCTTTAAGGCCAGAGCTGGCAGAGAGCACATACTGGCTGTACAAGGCCACCAGAGACCCCTTGTGAGTGCGTTTATAGGCACGTGACAGCATTCACGCGCATTTATATAGCTATGGCTCAGTCTGCAGCTAGGACAGACTTCATTTCCTCTCAAGCCGGAGCTGGCAGAGAGCACGTAAGGAAGCCTACAAGTGGCCCAATGTGAGTGCGTTTTAGGCACTCTCTCGTACGTACACATGGTTGCCGGCCTGGCTCTTTTTTAGATGTCGCAACACTTTTGACTCTTTCTGTCAGCCTCTCGCCCCGTGCGTCTTTCTCTGCAAATATCTGGCGGTTTCAGGGACTTGGATGCCAGCCTGGTGTGTTTTGTTTGCTTTCTAGAAATCAAACACAAGTGTGGCGCCAAGAAGATTCTGGCAGCGGAAGGTGCGGGATCTCCAGCAGCAGCGGAGGGTGTTATTAGTACGCCTTAACACGGGTGATCTGCACAGAGGAGCCACAAAATAAAAGCTATATGGAAAGAAGCATTCAGCAAATGGAATCGTTGGTGTGGCCCTTTTTGGTGCAGAGGAGATTGAGTTCATACGGAAAAACAGGAAAGCGATAATGGTCTGGTAAAAAAGGGCTCAAGAATGGGGAGATGGAGTCAAGGGGAAACTGAGGTACTCACACCAATTTCCTGCTGGAAGTGTGGGTGCATGTTCAAACTGCGAAGGCGCTGGAGATGCAGCCTTAATGGTCTGGCGACAGCAAAGGAGGATCATTAAGAGCTGCATCTCCAGCGCATTTGCAGTTTGAACACGCGCCCACTCTTCTGGCAGGAAATTGGTGTGAGTACCTCAGTTTCCCCTTGACTCCATATCCCCATTCTTGAGCCTTTTTCACCAGACCATCATCGCTTTCTTATTTTTCAGTATGAACTCTATCTCCTCGTGCACCAAAAAGGGTCACACCGACGATTCCATGTGCAGCATGCTTCTTTCCTTATAGCCTTTATTATGTGGTTCCTCTTTGTAGATCACCCGTGTTATTGCGTACCAATAACGCAATCTTCTTGCTCATTGATCTGGTTGCTGCAACCCTTGCACGACGGAGATTCTTCTGTGTCTCGCTCCTTGCTGCCAGTCTCTTATTGGCACCATGCTTTGGTTGGCCTTTACAAGGTCCCGCACCATGCGCTGCTGCTAGAGATCATGCACCCTTCGCTGAAAACCCAGCATGGCGCTTCTACCAGTTTTTGCATGTCAACGTTGCTTCTCTGCATGATGCTTTTGAGAATATATGCAGTAAAAAAAAAACAAAAAAAACATGCAGCTATTTTAGCTATCAGTGTATTGGGGGGTATTAGCATGTAGTAAGTTTTTTATTCAAAATAGTAGAAACTCTATCCCTCCTGCCGCTTTTTTCCTGCACCCACTGCTATTCTGCAGCTACCTGGCCGTTGGGAGGGACATGGTTGCTAGCCTGGCGCTGACGCGCTGCCGATGTGGCTACTGCCACGTCAGCGACGTCGAGACACATGCCTTGGACGACCACATGGAGAGCTTCTTCCTCTCGGAAACTGTATGTCTGCTGGATGTGATGGTGTGTGTCTTATGGTGTGAACCATGTTGGACTGAGACCTTGAGACGTTGACATGCATGCCCTGGACGACCACATGGAGAGCTTCTTCCTCTCGAAAACTGTAAGTCTGCTACCTGAAACCCTAAACCCGAAGTGGGCGAAAGGAAACTTGAATGCTGTTATGTTGATATGAGACGCATGCCCTGGCCGACCACATGGAGAGCTCCTTCCTCTCGGAAACTGTAGGTCTCCTCTCTGTGTGTGTGTGTGTGTGTGTGTGTGTGTGTGTGTGTGTGTGTGTGTGTGTGTGTGTGTGTGTGTGTGTGTGTGGGTGGGTGGGTGGGTGGGTGGGTGGGTGGGTGGGTGGGTGGGTGGGGGGGGGGGGGGGGGGGGGGGGTGGGTGGGTGTGTGTGTGTGTGTGTGTGTGTGTGTGTGTGTGTGTGTGTGTGTGTGTGTGTGTGTGTGTGTGTGTGTGTGTGTGTGTGTGTGTGTGTGTGTGTGTGTGTGTGTGTGTGTGTGTGTGTGTGTGTGTGTGTGTGTGTGTGTGTGTGTGTGTGTGTGTGTGTGTGTGTGTGTGTGTGTGTGTGTGTGTGTGTGTGTGTGTGTGTGTGTGTGTGTGTGTGTGTGTGTGTGTGTGTGTGTGTGTGTGTGTGTGTGTGTGTGTGTGTGTGGAGCAGGTGTGTGGGTATGAGTGATGGTGCTTAAAAAGGTGCACATGAGATTCCCTTTTGGGTTGAGATGCATGCCCTGGCCGACCACATGGAGATCTTCGTCTTCTCAGAAACAGTACGTCTGCTGGGTGTGATGGTGTGTGTGTGTGTGTGTGTCTGATGGTGTGGTGTGAACCTTGTTGGATTGAGACGTTGAGATGCATGCCCTGGCCGACCACATGGAGATCATCTTCCTCCCGGAAACAGTGAGCCTGCTACCCTGAACCCCAACATGCAACTCGAAATCCTGAACCCGAGTCCTGTCATGTTGAGTTGAGATGCATGCCCTGGCTGACCACATGGAGATCTTCTTCCTCCCGGAAACAGTGAGCCTGCTACCCTGAACCCCAACATGCAACTCGAAATCCTGAACCCGAGTCCTGTCATGTTGAGTTGAGATGCATGCCCTGGCCGACCACATGGAGATCTTCTTCCTCCCGGAAACAGTGAGCCTGCTACCCTGAACCCCAACATGCAACTCGAAATCCTGAACCCGAGTCCTGTCATGTTGAGTTGAGATGCATGCCCTGCCGGACCACATGGAGATCTTCTTCCTCTCAGAAACATTAAACTTCCTACCTGAAAGCTTTACTGTAATTTACAAAAATAGCTTCCAGTCCTCTCTTCTCATTGATTTCATATTTTTTTACTCCTTCATCTCTCCCTTGCTCAGGTGAAGTACCTCTATCTGTTCTTTGACTTGTCGCCTGTCTCTTTTCAGCTTCTCACCATCCCTTCTCATGCTCCCTTACCTCTTTCTCCTTTTCAGGTGAAGTGCCTCCATCTGTTCTTTGACTTGTCGCCTGTCTCTTTTCAGCTTCTCACCATCCCTTCTCATGCTCCCTTACCTCTTTCTCCTTTTCAGGTGAAGTGCCTCCATCTGTTCTTTGACTTGTCGCCTGTCTCTTTTCAGCTTCTCACCATCCCTTCTCAGATTCTCACCATCCCTTCTCATACTCCCTTACCTCTTTCTCCTTTTCAGGTCAAGTACCTCTATCTGCTCTTTGACTTGGCGTTGGGTGGGGATAACATCATGGACAACGGCCCATACCAGTGAGTCTTGAGACGCCTCATAGTAGTCCGGTCCAACCTACCTTGCTCGTGATTCTAACATTCTCACTCGCCTTTGGTGGGGATAACATCATGGACAACGGCCCATACCAGTGACTCCAACTCCTTCCAACCCATCCTCACTCCTCGCATCCTCACTTGTAAGGCACTGAGGCTTGAAACGTCTCATAAATTCGTGGACAGTGAGTGGGCCGTAGCTGTGAGTCACGCATGCTAGTAATTTTGAGTGATTGTGAGAGGATTGAACTCAAAAATCGTGTTCAACGCATCCCATCCTCTCTCCTCCCATTCTCATCTGACAATCACCAGCTTCTGTGCTCCGACCCAGGCCACACTTCCACTACCCCTCCCCCATAACCATGCCCACCCATCCTCACCTGACCCCCTGTTCCCTTCCCCTATACCCATCGCCTGTACCCGTCCCAACCCACCTTTCTGCAGGTACGTGTAGACAACGGAGTGTCATCTCCTCCCTCTGACTCCCGAGATCTCCTTCCCCTCAGAGCACTGCTCCTACCTCAACAGCTTCTGTGCCCCACCCCAAGCTAGCAGTTGCCCGCACCCTTTCGCCTTACCCATTCCCACCCCTCTTTCTTTCGCCTCCCCCTTTCACGTACGTGCTAACAACAGAGGTTCATCTCCTCCCTCTTTACTCTTGAAATCTCGTTCCCCTCACAGCACTGCTCCTACCTCACCAGCTTCTGTGCTCCGCCCCAAAGCCAGGCTCGCACTCACCATCCCCCATACCCATCCCAACCCACCTTTCTGCAGGTACGTGTAGACAACGGAGTGTCATCTCCTCCCTCTGACTCCTGAAATCTCCTTCCCCTCACAGCACTGCTCCTACCTCAACGGCTTCTGTGCGCCACCCCAAGCCAGGCTCGCACTCACCCTTCTCCTCCCCTCTCTCCACCCTTCAGGTATGTGTTGACAACAGAGGGTCATCTGCTTCCGTTGACTCCCGAAATCTCCTTCCCCTCAGAGCACCGCTCCTACCTCAACAGCTTCTGTGCTCTGCCATGCTTGCACTCACCGTTCCCCCATACCTATCCCCACCCATCCCCACCCCCCCTTCAGGTATGTACTAACAACGGAGGGACATCTTCTCCCTCTGACTCCCGAGATCTCCTTCCCCTCAGAGCACTGCTCCTACCTCAACAGCTTCTGTGCTCCTCCCCAGGCCAGCAGTTGCCGGGTTCAAGAGAGCGGTACTGGAGAGGGTGTTGTGGGGGAAGGCGCAGCAGGGGAAGGGAGTGAGTGGTTGGGAGAGGTGGAGGGGGATGAGGAGGGAGAGGGAGAGGGTAAGGTGGGAGAGGGGGAAGAGAGGGGTGGGGAGGAATGGAGGAATGGAGGGGCTGCAAGGGAGGAGGGAGGCAGCACTGGTGGTGCTGCTGCTGCTGGAGATGCCACAGGCCGTGCTGATAAGGCTGAAGGAATGGAGATGGGAATGAGTGGGGATAGACAGAAGGAGCAGGAGGAGATCAATCCAAATGTGGAAGTAATTGCTAAAGGGAAGACATGGGTACTGACTCGTAATAAAGGGATAGAAAAGACAGATTCTTCAAGCACTCTCTCAGGGTCACCCTCTGCTGCTGATCCTCACTCAAGCAGCATTGACAGCAGTAGCAGTGCTGCTGGCCCTGGCACTACCAGTGGCAGTGCTAGTGGAAGTGGTGGTGCTATAGAAGATGATGGGGAGGAGGAGGCAGAGGAGGAGGAGGTGGAGGAGGAGGATGAGGACGAGGAAGAGGAGGAGAGTGAGGGGGTCATGGGAGGCCAGCATGGGAAGAGGAAAGGCGTACATGACATGTCAGAACAGTTTGATACATACAGAGATCTACAGGTGCGTGATTCAATGCAACCCTTGTGCTTTGAGTCGACTCAAAACACGGAAAGGTGTGCATGACGTGTCAGAACAGTTTGATACATACAGAGATCTACAGGTGAGTGATTCAATGCAACCCTTTGTCGCTCTCTTTTCTCATCAGAAGAACACACACACACACACACACACGCGCGCGCGTGCACACACACACACACACACACTCACTCACAACAAATTGCTTAAGCCTGGTTTTGTTGCTTTGTTGATTTGTGCCCTCTAGCTAATAGTGATTCGTGTTTGTTTGCAAGACTTCCGTCTTTCAAACAAAAATGGGGGCATTCAATGTTAGAAGCATGGTAAGGTCTCAGAGTGCCTTTCTATAAAACCTCACATGTATCTTTCAGCTAATTATTTGTGAATAGTGTGTCAACAAAAAGCCGTCGACGCTTTCGTTTGCCCGGGGCGATGCAGCGTCAACAAACATCGCAGCGCCGCTTGTGAACGACGGGCAGAAAAACACTAAAACTCTCTCGAATAGTACGGTATATTCGAGGGAGGCATCAACCTTGAACACCATGTGCAAGGTGTTTAGGTTGATGCCTCCCAAGTTAGCATCCCTTCCCCCTTGGGTTTTAGTTTCTCTTGCCCCGGGCAACAAGCTTTCTGGGCGGAGTCAGTTGTCCGTTGATCTTTACTAACCCGTATGGTGTTTATTCCAATGGTCTCCTACATTGCAAATTGTGGGGATATATCCTCTTCTTTTGACTAATTGCAGGGATTTTGTCAAGGTATTTCTATATGGAGAAGATTGGGAATTCCTGGGCTCTGATCCAATCCCTCAGATTTCAGTGTTTTTACACTGGTTCAGCCTGACTTGTGTAAGCAATTTTTATAAATAATTTCCAGCATACATTTGCTTGCAAGCTAGTGATGTTTCAGCCTACCCTACAGACTGTTTCTCATTTCCTTCCCCACTGAGTAGTGCCAACTCCCAATTCATGGCAGACACAGCATACAATCACATGGAAAGTGTACAGTAAAGTAAACCATAACTCACGATAGATTGCAATGAGATGTTCCACGGTAATGGTGTCTGGGTATGCATACAATGACAATTATAATTTTGAAGCAATAAACAGACCAACTAGATCATCTAAAAGGTAGCCATACTATGCGTGAGAGGCATGAAACCACCAGGGAATAGGTGTACTGAAGCCACTGAGACTTCAAGAGCTTGACCTGAGAAAACAAATGGGACCTGAAAACCAGAACCCACACATTAGCTGTGATTGAAGGTGTGACGAAGGCAGCTAGTACCATAATCCTCGAAATCGTTGAGAGAGCAAGGAACCTTCTCACTTCCTAGGCCTTGCACATCACGTGCACCAGATGGCTGTTGCACCATGGCGAATAATCGAACTTCCAAGAAACACCGAGCCAACCTGTTGACTGAATTCCACTTGCATGGAGTAGGACTTCCCCGGGGAGTTTCCCCGTTACGGGAAGTCACCTGCATGCCAGTCAACGGGGATGACTCACGGGATCAGGTAACCAGTAAAACATGGAGACGTAAACAAGGCAGACTACTAATCTAGTAGCTTATATATAATTAAAAAAACCGTTCTGGAACATCTCGTCGCAGAATGCCGCTGAGATATGTTAAGGAACGCCGACAGGAGGAGGACGTTATGAATCGATGAAGCCCGTCTTCTGAAGGATAGCCGTTCGCACGCGAGCTAGATCCCTTCCTCGTAACGTCCCTCCAACTCCTTCGTGTACGGAGAAACACATTGACGGGGATATATTCCTTGCTGCAAGCTCGTGCGGAGGAACCATGGCGGCATCACTGTCGTTCTCGGGATCGTCGTTCATCGTCCAACGAGAGGGCTTCGACGATCTGCCTGTTATTTTACTCCAGTCAGGGACGTTCACAGGAGCGGAAGCACGATGATGACCTTGGGAAAGCCGCGACTTTAAATGATCAAGGTGGTTGTGAACGGTTGGGATAACGACTGGATTCAATCCAGTCGGCTTGACAATGTCTCCAGCAGGACGTTGTCCGAAGGAACTTATGTCTGAAGATAAGATAGCGAGACCTTGAGCCTGGTTTGAAAATATACCAGCCGAGGAGCTCGCGTCCGCTTCAGCCCTGAGGCGCAATGACGGCAGACCTTGATCGTGTAACGAAACCCTGGCAACTCCGTCGGTCAAGCTGTCAGAATCCGTTACAGACCAAATGTCTTCTTCTGTGAAGTCGTCGCCAGAAGCCTGTACGCAAGAGGACGGCGGGATCGAACCTAACAGAATCGATCCGCTCTGGAGGCGGTTTCCGTGGTTGGACGACCCTAATCCAGAAGCAGCCATTCCTAGAACGACTTGACTTGAAAGCGGAGAAGGGTGTGTAAACATCTTGGATGTTTGGTTGCCAGAAGAGCCTGGACAAAGGTAGGCCTGGCTCTGTTGGCCTGGTACCCAAGAAGCCTACGCAAAAAAAGCACACCACGGCCAACAGCTGTAAGAGTGGCTGTTAGAAATGAGGTAACTAACAACCAGAGCAGGGAAAGTAGGAAGGGAGGAGATGGAAGGGAAGGAACCGAACAGACAGAAACCGCAGCTCCCGCCTGTACCCCCCAACCCAACCCAACTAGTACAAGAGGTGGGTGGGGATGGGGGAGGTGAAATGGGAAGACGGGGAAGGAGAAGAGCACCAGCAGCGGGGCAAGTGCCCTGCTCAGTACAGCACGGTAGGAGGGTGAGACGGGGGTTGGGAAGAAAGAAGGGGAGACAGCGGAGAGGGGGTAGGACGGGGGAAGGAGAGGGGTTAGGAGAAGGAAGGAGAAGGGGAAGGAGCGGAAGGTGAAGGGGGAGGTGGGGTGGGTGGGGAGGGAGGGAGGGTGGGGAGAAATCTGGTGTGAACTGTGCGTGCCGGGGATTTTCTTTTTGAGCCATCCATGCCTGTAATCTTGGGGCGAAGCCTCAAATCCGGTGTATTTTTTATGACAGATCGCCTTGTTCCTCCATCCAACGACCTGTCGCTCAAAGTTGTTTTGATCCCGCAAATCCGCGTCGCATCCCCTAGCTTCTTGAACCTGCGGGCTGCCAGCTGGATGGTCCCTCGACACTTTAACCTCCTCGCTTCCACTCTGGAAAATATAGCTTCTTCTCAGTGTAGTGGAAGAACCGAGCGGGCAACTGCCCTGAAACCAAACCCTGCCAAATTTCTGGTGTACAGCACACGGCACGAGTGCTGTACAGTCCAGTATTTGGATGAATATGCAGCACCATTCGAGCAGTTTTGGGTAACGGCTCTGTACAATTATGGACTTCTGTAAGGAAAAATCATTTTCCTTACTTCGCGCCCCTGCTTACCGCGAACAAGACCATTCCCGCCATCAGCACCCAAACAGTGAAACATTACCCGCTCGCGACACTCGCCTCGACTACGACTCCCGCCAAAATTCACGATGCGACCCAACCTCACGGTTCGGTTGGTAACCCGCGCTTCGGACCTCCGCCTCGACATATCCCAACCTCGGCGCTAGGCCCGTAGCGCACCCTAATTCCCCGCGTTACCGTTACCACTCTAGTTCACTATATATTCTTCGCGCATGCCTTCGCTCATTGTATTGTTTTGCTTCGATAGTGCAATTCTCGCCCGCTCGCTCAATTGCACTCGTAATACTTGGTATCAGAGCCTACGATCTCCTCTCGGACCGCACCTGTCAGAATAGTGAAGGAAGGAATGAAACAGAGAAGAGAGGGTTTCATTAGCAAACATTGGGATACATATAGCAAACCCTAACAAGGTTGTACTCACTATAGAGTACCCCACTGCAGACTAGAGAAATATAACATTCTGACACACCCCGATAGTCAAAGTGGGGTATAATCAGCACAGCATGCAGTCGCATAATAAGTTCACAAGCACAAGCAAAGCTAGAGGCAGTCACAGACGATAAGTGAGGAGGAGGAGGGACTGTGAGAGGAGTGGAGATAGGAGGAGACGGGTGAAGCCGCAGATACACGGGCAACAGGAGCGGCGCGCACGGTGGCTACCGGAGCAAGGGCCACAGACTACAGGAGTAACTGGCTCCGCGGCTAAGACGAGCGGCAGGAGCAACGGACCCACGGTCGACTGGCGCAGCAGGCTCGCTGGACTACCGGAGATTGTAGCCTCCGGACTACTGGCGCTGCTGGCGACACGACGGCTACCTCCGCCCAACCTCCCCCAACTGTCGCAGACCCCCTTTCACACACCCCCTGCTGCACCCCTAGCTCCACTCCCACGACACCCCCTAGCGCGACTTCCTCGGCTCCCACACACCCACCCCCCTCAGCGGCAGCTGCAGCAGTGGGAGAGAGAGGAGGAGGAGGAGCAAGGGACGACGCACACCCGCCACCCCCATACCCGCCACCCCACAGGTGCACGAGGACAGGAGGCGGCAGGGGCGGCTCGCGGGCGACGGAAGGAGGGGGGGCGCGCGGGCCCCCGAGGGCGCCACAACGGGCGACGGGAGGGGAGGGGGGCGCGCGCGGGCCCCTGAGGGCGCCGCGACAAGCGACGAAACCGCCGCACGCCTCGGGGCGCGCGACGGACAGGGCAGGGCGTCGCGCGGCCAGCAGGGCGGCGCGACGGGCAGGGCAGAGCAGTACGCGACCACCAGGGCGGCGCGACGGGCAGGCGCGCGAAGGGAAGAAAAAAACGCCGCACGCCACGAGCACGCGGCAAGCAGAAAACGTCGCGCGCCACGGGCGCGCGACAGGCAAAACAGCAGCGGAAGCATCGGGTGGGCCCATCCACAGGGTCGACCAGAGAGGGTCGACCTGCTCTGATAGCATGTCAGAATAGTGAAGGAAGGAATGAAACAGAGGAGGGTTTCACTAGCAAACATTGGGATACATATAGCAAACCCTAACAGGGCTGTACTCACTATAGAGTACCCCACTGCAGACTAGAGAAATATAACATTCTGACAGCACCCACACCTTCGCTTCCCCACTATATCAATTTGGGGGGGGGTAGACGTCTCTCAGAGAACAAGCACCGCCACTCGAAAGGCTCTCTCGTAAGCACGCACGGC